ACACACTTTATGGTTCCAGCTTCTCAGATGAGGATTTGCTGCTTTACAGCACAACAAGATAACTGGAAAAAGAAACATCCTCCACTGTCTCATTTAAATAGAGAGAAAGTGGTTTATATATAGAAGAGACAGAGGAAGACACAAGTTTCGAGAAGAAACTCTTTATTTAGGCTCCAGTGTTTGTCTGTGAGTTCTTTAAGTGTGAGTTGCGGGATGTTGCACCCAGGTGAGTCATTGGCCTGTGGAGTGAAACCATGCAGTTTCTCCTGTGTCGTTGTTTACAGAGTGAGCTGTCCAGGCCTCCCAGATGGGTGTTCTCAGCTTGTAGTTAATCAATGACAGCATTGTCTCTCACTCACACACACCAGTAGATATCAAAATAGCAATGCGAATGAGTAGATTTATGTGATGTTGATCATTTAAAAATATGAAAACAATGACAAAGTCTGCGAAATTTGTAGCTCTATTATAATACTGAGACCTTTTTAGGTTCTGCATTGAAACTGGTTCTTGGTTTATGATGACTGGTGATGCTGTATTTTGATTCCTGATAGCAACGTTTAGACTCAAAACCTGTCTTAGTCTAAGATGTTGTGTTTACAATAGGAGCTTGATTATAAAGTGTGGTTAAGCTTCACAACAGACAGTAGTGATACAGCAAAATGAAATTACACCACAAAGCATTTCCTGCAGTTTGGTATTGGAAGTCAACATTTTTGATGTCCTCAGTAATACTAATAATGCCCTGCAATTGCCATTAAAATAACTCTTTGTATCTATCAGAATACTGTGGAGTTTCTGTCTTTGATATAGAGAATATATTCATTTCTCATGAATAACTTTTAGCTATAAAGAATTACCTTATCAATAATTTAGGACTTTTTATGACTGCCTAAATTTTAAAATTTTAAAGTTTTTGCTTTCATCTCATTGTGGTTTCTGTTCTTATTCTGCTGTCGTTCAATATGATAAAAATCTGAAGTGGAATTGACCAGCAAGTAATTAGCAATGGTGTGTAGCCTACTGTCATTGTTTTCATGTTTGGATGTCCCAGAATGAGCATGTGGCCACTTTGTTTAGCTAGTCATTGAAAAAAGGCTCATGCACACACAAGGCCCACATCACAAAGTTTGTAGGTTAGCGGGCCACACTCACAACCTGTAAACATGTTGAATCCCTCCTCCCTCTCATGTCCCGGCTCAGCGAGGAGTTTCAAAGTACACTGTCGAATAAACAGCTATCCACCTGCCGGCCCGTCTGTATCCATATAGGGCAGTGTAAATGGAGGTGGAGGGACATGCATGAAACGTTTGATTTTTCTGATTTCTCCGTATGACATATAGCACAGTCATTTTGCATCAGTAAAATACGAAGTGTGTTTCTGTTTAATGCAGTTCTGAAGCTGACATTTGAAAGCCTGCAGCATCTGGTCTGGTTTTTTGAAACGTTGATGTCACTGGGAAATCCAATTCCTGACAGGTTTACAGTTGTTTTTGTGGGAAGTTGAGTGATATTGAGGTGAAGTTTCTGTTAGAGTTACAGAGATTTTTTTTATAAAGAAAGCACGTGACCTATGGGAATTATTGTATTGTTTCATTTCCTCTTCATTACTGTCAATAATCAGCCTGTTGAAAAGTTTCACAAAGCAGTCACTACCTTTCTATTTTAGTAGAGGTTCACACTCACCCTGTACTTTCCAAAAAAAGGAAACTAAATCATGTATAACACCAGATTTCTTTTCAAAGAGAATTACAATAATAAACCTTGGGTGCATTTATGTAACCAGGAATCTTCCTTAATGAGCTGTATGTCATTTCATATAAAATAATTTGACGTGAAAAGGTGTGAATTTTAAATATGGACTATATGAAATCTACATCAACTAAATCATTTGATTTATAATAATAATAATAATGTTATTAAAAAAATTATGAGAATATGATAAATATCCAGGATAAACAGTCCTTGTCTCAACAGTGCCAAGTGAACTCTATAAAATGACCCATGTCAAGATTTTCATGGAGACAAAAGGCCAGATTTGGCTTCATATGGGGTTAAAAGTCACTGCTTGTAAATCCAGCAAAAAAGTACGACTTGCATTATGCAAAGCTGCACAGGAGGAAGTTAAAACTTTGAGACAGCAGAGAAGCTAAACATATTTAACAAAAGAAAAGCAAACCAAGCATCTCTCATTACGAAACATGCACTTGTACCGGACATATTAATCAACTAAAGCCAGAGCAGCACGTACACAATGTAGGTATTAGTCAGTAACCTCAACTCATTTTGACTTTAGCATTGTATAAGCCTGCAGTCTCATCCACACATGGTGTATTTGCCTGTGTGCCAGCACTTCTACTGTTTGCAAACACAGTCAGTGTGACGACCATATGTGATCGTACATGACAATTTGCCATGTGCTCTGCCTCTTTCATCTGTCCCTGTAAGGAAATTTACAACCTGTTTACACTCTCCTACTGAGAGATAGAGGGGTGTGTGTCTGTGTGTGACTGGGTGGGTGGATGGGTGTGTGTGTTCCTAGAGTGTAACTAACTTCACATCTGGTTTTTAGTGTGAATCTGATATAGGATATCATCACACATCTTTAATTCTTGGTGTCTGTTTTTGTTTGCTTTTAATATGGGAAAATATATTCTCCTGTTGCTTTAATTGTGAGTCCTAATACTGTTTAAGTACAACAGGAGAAATGGTACAAATGTGAAAAAAGAGCCTGTAATCTCTACAGATGAATATGTATTTATGAAGATTAGAGTGTTTTTGTAGAATCTATTAATTGATCATCGTTTGCCTCCTAAAAATATCAGAAGAAAGTTTAAAAAAAGGATCACAATTTCCCAAAGCCGGAGCTGAGATGTTAAAATTGCTTGTTTTGTCTGACCAACTGTCCAAATCCCAAAGATACACACTTTTTAATGTCAAAGAAGACTAAGAAAACCTGCAAATACTCACATTTGAGTTGCTGTAACCATTAAATCTTTTGCATTTTTGCTTAAATAATAACAGTGTAATTCATCAATTATCGGTATAATTGCCATCACCTTTTCTGTCAATCAACTAATTGGACAAATATTTCTAAGATCAACAAAAAAATGACCTCTATTGTTAAATATGTTATCTGATACTGTGGTATAGAGATTCTCAAAGTACCCAGAACCACATTATAATTATCCGGCTGGATGACTAAGGCTGGATGATATACTGAATTCTATGTTATCTGGTGAGAGATGGACGAGAAGATCGAGATTACTCTCATATCTGTCTGTTAAATATAAGGCTACAGCCAGCAGTCGGTTAGCAGCTAGCCAGGCTCAGTCCAAAGATAACAAAATCGACCTACCTAAAGCACCTCTAAAGCTCACATAATTCACTGTTATATGGGGTTCACATGCAGGGCTATTGTTTGCCTCACCATCAAGTGGCATTGATCGTCTCATTGGCAGACATAAAATATGATATTCATAGTGTGTTTTCATGAGCCATCATTTTTATCTACAGACGCCATGGGGTGCCTTCCATGGAGTCTGCCATGTTGAACCGCCATGTTTCTGGCACAGAACGGCCAAACCAAACACTGAACACTAGATAGGGCCTTTCGTGTTTTCTCGCGAGTTTTGTGGCCACAGTCCACTGTCCGTTCTCATTCCCAGGTCATCAAATACTGACCCGAGCAGTGTTCAATTTGTTGCATTCTCCAACTTCACTGCTATATGCCACTATATCCTACACACTGGTCCTTTAAAGGAAATTAATTATATCCATTAATTACAAATGTTGCACATTAATGTTTTACAGATTTTTGGTCATATCCAACCCTTCTCTGAAGTGTGGTATGCTCATGGGGATTGACTTGTTGATCTGTTCCATCTGACATACTTGTTAGTTAATGATCTGAGTACCACGGTAAAAAAAAACTGGATTGTGATCACCCACTCAAAAACAGGCAAGAAGGTTATTCGATATAGCAGTTTTTTTATCATCATGTGCTTTTAAGTGGGAGTAAACTGAGTAAAAAAATCCACATTTAGTGTGTTGATGTTAGTAATTGATAATGTCCTGTGATGACTTTACCCTCAACCTCAGCCGACCCTAATCATCATTTTAATGTGCACTTTATTAAAATAGTGTTTATAAAAATAGTCGACTAAACGAAACTTAAACCCCGTCCTCCTCCGCCCCTCTCCACCCCATGCCCGTGGCTCTGCCCAGACCAGCTGGAGCCTCCACAGCCGCATGAAGCAGCCCAGCACACATGGCTGTGATCACACACACACACACATACGCACATACACAGGAGCAGGAGTCTAATCCTCCCTCGTATGATACTCATCTGCTGAGGGGAAGGAAGCAGCCTCCGCCATCACACACACACATATATATATATATATCTCACACACACACACACACACACACACACACACTCACATTGCACATGTGATGTTTTACATGATGTACAAGGTTATTAAACCAGCCTCAAAGGTTACTGATGCACTAGATGTCTGAATCTGGCTAACAGGCCAGCCGACTAACTCCATTACAGCCCATTGATTGATTTATTGTCCGACTGATTATCACCAATAAAAATCACAGCAATTGGCTTTTTCTGAAGAATGCCTGCAACTAACTACTTAATGGAGTGGTAGATTGATTGACCGGCTTGTTAACTACTCAGCTGCAGTTCTTCTTAGATCGCCCTGAAGGCTAAAAATGTGACTTTCTGGAGAACTCGTGCAACACATTTACTACTGTAATTTCATACACAGCAAAGCAAATACCCGTTGAATGGATGTGCAACTAAAAATCAACAGTGTAAACTTTACATCCAGCTGTGCAAAAATGTGACATTCGAAGCCAGGGGCGAGGAGGGAGGAGAGGGTTGTGACTCCAGTAAACAGACGCAGCAGCTTGGCTACAACCGAGTAAAAGCTGATGAATGTTTCAGAATATAAATCAACAACCAGAGCATGCATTGCTGTTTGTTCTGTACATATGTATGTACCTCAGGTGGAAACAGTCTGTATTATTTATATTCACCTTTCAGGTTATGAAACTCCAATTACATTTATGGTCAAACGAACACTTTGGTCCGATAATAAATAAAGTATGTGTGGTGCCCTCTTGAGACGATGCAGTTAGTTTACTTCTTCCACAAATATAAAAAAAAAAAAACTTTTGCTAATGGTATATGTGTAAATGACCAGTCCGAATGTACCTTTGTACATTTTTAAGTGAATCTACAGAATAAAATACTGGGGAGAAATATGATGTTGAGGAAGAACTGAGTACATGTAGTGTAGCTCTGTTGACGGCTGTTCGGGGTGGATGTTGGCGCAAACCTACTAAATATTTTAAGAATGTAAAAGTACTGGTGTCTTCCCCATATTCATTCAGCAGTGGTGGGCCACAACAGCCAGACAAGCTACGGAAAATATCAAAAATAACATATTAAAAAAAATATGTATTTCAATACTTCCTGTAAAAAATGCATCTGCAAAAGGCCCCAACTGCTCGCATCGAGTGTGGCCACTAACTGCGTGTTATGTTCACATTTTGGGGGCAGCAACAGCTCGTTTTGCGTGTCAAACTCTACTGTAAATGTAATTTGCTGACACCTGGAGTAAAGCAATTAATACCAGTGGCTCACAGGCAAAATCTCTTCCTCCATCTTTCCCATTTCTCTCCCGCTCTCTCTTTCTTTTGCTCTTAACTGGAAGCTTTCAGCAGAAAACACTGCTCTTTAATAATTTGTATTCATGTGTCATCAGTGCTGGCTACGGGCACTTTTGGCTCTCAGATATGGCTGCTGATCCAACAAGCGCATTAAAATCAACCATCAACAGCAATGCAACAAAACAAGCATGGCATGTCTAAAAACGAGTCATCAGTAAAATAATCAGCTAACAGGTAACACACAGAGACACATTTTTAAAATGTTACACCGACGTAACATGTAACGCGTGAGCAAAGCCTGAAAAAGCAAGAAGTGTTAATGTCTCACATGCATGGATGGATTATGAGGCCAAACAAGAGCGTGCGGCGGCCCCCCTCCCCTCCCCTACATAAGAGCAAGAGCCCCACACAGACACAGAACAACTGCAAACAACTCATTCACGTCTCTTTGTGGACGTTTTGTGTCAGTTCATGGTCATTTTGTGGTTCTTTTGAGTCTCTTTGTGGTTATTTTGAGTCTCTTTCTGGTTGTTTTAGGTCTCTTTGTTGTCATTTTGCATTTCTGAGGTCATTTTGTGTCTATTTGTGGTTGTTTTGTGTCCCTTGTGTAGTTTTTTTGAGTCTCTAGTGGTTTTGTGTCTTTTCTCAGGTTGTTTTGTGTCTCTTTGTAGTCAGTTTGCATTTCTTTGTAGTTATTTTGAGTCTCTGTGGTTGCTTTGTGTCTGTCTGGCAGTTTTGGGTCTTTCTTTTGTAGTCATTTTGCATCTTTTTGTGGGCGTTTTGCGTCTTTTTGTAGTTGTTTTGCGTCTCTTGGTGGTCATTTGTTTGACTTTTTAAAAGGTTCACAGTCACTTCAGAGAGAAGCTTTTGCCCAGGGGTCCTAGCGTAGTTTTTGACAATTCAATCAAACAACAGTAGTTCATATATCAGTTATCAATCCACGCGGTTTGAGGTCTGCGATACTTGCTTAGAAACATACAAACACACATACACCCACTCGCACACATGCACACACATCCTGAGGCTGGCAAGTGGTTAACATATGTTCATCGTGGTTGAGTAGCAACAACCTGTTTGGCACCAAGATAACTGACCTCCTCCTGCTTTTTGTTTTCTTCCAATGTTTCCTCTCAGCAGGAGAGATGAGCATCAAGTCTTCAACTTCTTTATTTGTGTATAAATGTTCATTGTTAATCCATCTGAAGAGCAGATGTGTGTCTGCTGTCACCATGTGTCAGTGTGTGTGTGTGTGTGTGTGTATGTGTCTAACAGTCTAAATCCCCACCGCATCACATCAGAACAGCTGTAGTAACACCTCAGGTCCCCAGTCCATGGCCGTGTGAGCCACAGCGAACACGGCTGCCCCGAGCGTGGCGGACAGCCCCCACACAGCCATCTTCACCATCCTGTTCCCCTTCCCCCACAACTGGCCTCGGTCCCGGGGCAAAGCTGCTTCCAAGCCTGAGTGTCAAGAGGATACGAGCACAGAACAAGGAGGAGGGGTCAGAGTGTGAGCAGCGGAGACAAGGAGGAGTCAAGAGGATTCAAAATGCTGGAAGCTGAACCAGAGGAGGATCAAGCTGCATTTTCTTACCAGTACTGGAATCAAAGAGGGGGGTCAAAGGTTTGTCAAAACAAGTCGAGACAAGGAGGGGTCAAAAGCAATAATACACAACAATTAAATATTAATGAACCAATCCTGCTCCCTGATCTTTGCTAAGCAGTACTCTCACTTTATTTTTTTATTTATTAGGTACACCTAGCCAAAACTAATGCAGCCTAATACAAGTCCTGTAATAAATACCTTTATGAAGGTTATAATGGTCAGTTTGTTTTTTATTGATTCAATTCAACTTTGCGGTCATGTTGGAGGCCACAGTAGTACTGTTGAATTGTAGTGAGTTATACTGGGTACACTGAATATTCTACACACCTCTCAGTATAAATAAACAAGCAGCAGCTCATACAGTACGGCAAATATCCAATATTGTGCATCCCTATTTAACACACAACTGAAGCTACTACAGTCTATACAGTGGAGAAGAGATTACACAATGCAAATATATTCGATGGCTATTGCTGAAGCAAGCAGCTCCTAAATAGAATCAGAAACAAGGTTTGACATAATAAAAATCTTGAGGTTTCTAACTTTTTAGTCGTCAGCCAATATTCATCATTAGTTTAAAATTTCGACACCGAGTTGTCTGATGACTCCCATTCATTCTCCGCCACAGTGAAATCAGGTGATGCTATAGATCGGCCGTTATGCACCTCATCTCGATGCTGCTAATTGAATTTTGATGAAACTGCAGGGAATGATGTGCATCAATTTTATTATTACACTGTTTGGCCTGAGGGGAATGTTACAGCATATTTTTGATTGCCTGTACATCACAGACAATATGTCAGATGCCACTGATCAGATTTTCACGAAACCTACGGGAATAAAGCATCTCTTTGTTCTTTTCTAGCATATTTAAATTTGCACTTGATTGGTCTGATGGGAGTACTACATCATTTGTTTACTTCTTATTGATTGGTCTAAAGGGGGGCAGCGTTTGTGGGGGATGACATATTTACTGTTGCTTTGTTTTGAACAATCGTGTTCTGCGGATCCATCAAATGACTTTCATGGTCAGGTTGGAAATGTTTGTTCTTGCAATCTCACAGTCGATATTAATTTCTACCCAACTTCAAAGAGTATGCAACAAGAATTCAATTTTACTTCACCCATCTGCACGTGTCTGCATGTGTGAAGTCCTTAAGAGTCAGTAATAAGATTAAAGATACTATTTTTACCGTGTTTGGAGGTGGAGGAGCCATGGGCCTTAGTGAGTCGTCGGAGAACAGAGTCGGGCCTCTGGTGGAGGGTGGAGAGCTGAAATGCCTGGAAGGTGCTGATGGACAGACTGGAGATAGAAAATGGAGGAAAAGAAGAGGGAAGGAGAGTTAGTCGGTGATGGAGAACAGAGTCAGGTTTACGATGAAGCATGGACAGCTGAATTGACATAAAGAGATGGACTGAAGGATAAACTGATAGATAAAGACAGGTGAGAGACAGTTTGAAAGATCTACTAAGTCAGTAGATCCTGTATATAGGAAGCTAGGGGAGTAATGCATTATGGGACGTGAATATCAGTCAGTGAAGGTCCTGTGTCAGTGATGTCACTTCCTCTCCTGAACAATGACCGTAAGGAACGCTTGAAGGACACTGACAAAGAGACTGATGAGGGAGAAACAGAGAGAGAGAAAAAGTGTGGTTCTGTATCTAATGCTTCCTCCTCAATAATAAAAAATGTGGAAAAATGGTCACACGCATGGTTACACACACACACACACACACCAAATGGCCTGTGTGTGTGTGTGTGTGTGTGTGTGTGTGTGTCTGTGTCAGCAGCCCCACTGAGTTTGGATGTGTTTTTAGAGCATCTCCTATTGGCTACTGACAGAATTACATCACACCACCTGCAGTCATAATAAACCACCTTTAACATATGTTTATGTGATACTATTGAAGTGTTGATTCTTAAATGTGCAGATTTCCTTTAATCGTGTAATTAGAAGATAACATACGAGAAGTTGTGATGGGCCGTTTTTACAATTTTGTGACATTTTGTGGACTAATCACTTGATTAATTAAATAATTTACTGATGAACTGAAATGATAGATTTTTTAAGCCCTAGTTGCATGAGTATTTATTAAAGAAAAATATTTCTTTATATAGCACAGTGGGTTTACACTTTATCATTTAGTTAATGTGTTTGCTTATCACATTTACTACATACTGGATTTTAAAGGATCAGTGTGTACGATTCAGTGGCATATATTGCAACCATTTGAATACACCTCAGCCTTCCAAGCATCAAGGAGAAACTAGGCCCAATTTAAAACCAGTGTTTGGTTTGTCTGTTCTGGGCTACTGTAGAAACATGGCGGTTCAACATGGTGGGCCTCCGTAAAAGACGACCCACTT